ACTTTTCCTCAAATAGAACTCCTGACTCTTCCAATTTTTATTCTTCATTTGGCCTGTCATCAGCTTGTTAAGTCAACGCTGCTCTTCCCACAATTACAGAAATTGAAAAGAGACTATCTACTGTAATCAGTAGATTATAGTGAAATCAAAATCCATACACAAATATTTAATATGCTGGCATTCAAATACATACATATATACACATACTCACTTTAGGTAGATAATCCAGTATACATTCTACACATTAGCTTATATATAATATAGGTACCGTTTATCTGCTCATTCTCATACAGACAGACACTGCAACTATCAGCAATCCATAATTACTAACCACATGAAGACAATTTAACAGTTTAGTAAATACTGGTTAATGTTTAAACTGGGAATGGATGTGCAACTTCACCAGACAGGTCAACGTGACTGAAATCAAGAAAGGTTATGTTAAGTATAAAAGGCTCAACCCTGAAGTAATTTCCTTTGGTTGTTTTTTATAATCAGGTCTAATGGCCCATTGTAAAACTATGTTTTATAGACACAATGTGGACTAAACTCAATTCAACCTGTGTCCTTCATCTCCCTAAGGCCTAAGCTAAAAGGAGACTGTACACAAATACTCTGGTTCCATGCCTTCCACCCTCACAAAGCTTTAATAACATGGGATTTGAGAGCATGTCTAGAAAGGAAAGGGGAAGACCCATATCTCTGAAGACCTAAATTCAAAGCCAAGAAAACAGGAATTTCTGCATTAAGCAGTTAACATTTCTTCTTTAAAATACCCAACAAATATATTATCTTGCCTACTGTAAATTGTTTATAGCCAAGCTTGTACATGCACAGTGGTTTTTCTTTAAAGAAAGCTTTTAGAGTGGTTAATAAAATGCTGACTTGAGCAATCACCGTAAAGATATTCTGTGGTTCCCATCAGACAAATCTTCAGCTTATTAGAGCATACTATAGAGACTGATCAGCCCAAACAGCTTTTTCATTCTGCACAGAAATTTTACTAAATAATGCAATAAATTATAACCCTGTTTTCTCATAGCTCACCAACACCACAGCTCCTTAGCAATACTTTCCTGATATACTACATCATCATAACACATAACTGGAAAACTAAGCACATGAGTGGGAATTGGTGCCCTAATGTTGTAAAAACTGCTGTAATCCGGTCTTAAAATCTGAGTGATGTGCAGATGAAGCAAGGTTTACTAAACTGTTAAATCAGAACCTTGCATGATGAAACCATTCTGTTAATCAGGAACACACACTAGCTACACAATTGTGCCTGTCACTTAGAGAAATCCAGTTCTGAGACTGAGATTGAATTAGTCTGTCTAGCTACTCACAGGCAGTACAGAGGTTTCAGATTATAAATTACAATGTGATATGAAAAGTACTTGAAGATGCCTCTAGTTACAATATATCTTGGGACACAGTAAAATATTAATTAGATATGACCTGCATACAAATACTGCACTGCTATTAAAGACTGCTTCTGGAAGTGACAGTTTACCTGACAATTTACTTGATAATTAGGATATTTCACAGATTCAATTCAAGACCTCTGATAAAAGTCAGGATGACATAAAAATGAGAAATCCCTGAGTCTCTTAAAAATTCTGTCTCTCTTTTGGTTGTTAATGCAATAACAAACATGCACATCCTTTTTCATTTTCTGACAAGGAAGGATAAAAAAAAGACAAAGTCACATAAAAAGTGTTTATCATAATTATCTCAATGGAGAGATGTTATCTTTACACAGATGAGGTAAAGACCACCACAAAGATGTACTTCTTTAAACTATCTCTTGACCCTGCAGAATGACACTGTTTTTAACAGGTTTTCCTGACAATGCCCTCAAGACTAAGAAATAAAGCTAGAAGAAACCCATTCATATTTTATACAAAGAGCTCTAAATAATTCCAAGAAATCAGTTTTGTTTGGGAGTACAGTAAGCTTTCAACCAAATCCAGCAGGGAAGCCATTTTCATGAAAAACTAAAAAGATGACTAATAGGAAAATAAAATGTAAAGGAAAACATTCTTTCTACAAAGTTTCCCTTTTTGTAAACCATGCACTATAAAATTCAAGCATCCAAGAAAAAAACCCTAAGGTACCCCTTAAGAAATGGGAACCCAGGGAAAGCCAGACTTTTAGGCTTAATACTGGCAACAGGATAACCACTTTGGAATCCGGACAGAAAATCCAGACAACTCAGTTAGGCTGACCAGTCTAGAGAGACAGCTGCCCGACAGAGTGCAGACACTATGAAGTTCACACTTATTCAATTTAAATACTCAGTCAAAACATTTTTTTAACTTTCAATATACAGTATTTTTTAAGTTTTCAATATATACATGGCCACATTACAGGAGTATACCACCCTGGCAAACTTCAGATTTTCCTTAAAAAAAAAAAACAAACACAAAAATTGAAGAAAACTCTGTCATTCAGCTATGACTGATATCCAACTTAAAACTCACTGCTCTAAGCTGGCTCTGAATTTGGAATTTGTATTTAATCCTCTGTCCCACATCACCTCCATCTTCTGAACCCATTAGTGTCTTCAGAAGCTGTTACTAATGATGCAGACTCATGAAGACAGAGGGTTACATTTCATTTGGTTTTACATTAATTTAATCTTCTACCATGTATCTATTTTATATTATAAAATATTCTTAATCAACAGTCCTGTTATCTACAGCATTTTACTTCACTTGGATAATGAAAGTTCATGATTACACTCTTTCCATAAAACAGTAAAAAAGAGCTTCACATTCTTCTCCATTAGTAGATGATTCCCAAATACATAAATTAATGCCTCTTCTTTAAATAATTTTAAATTAAAGAAATATAAGTAAAACCTCCTATTTTTATCATTGACTCTTACAAAAGTAAGCCATTATCATATGCTATGACCTCTGTGAATTTGTTGATTTTCTTTCCTGTAGTTTTATTGTCACAGATGGATTACAGCTGTAAGTGACCTCTGGAGATCATCTTTTCCAACCCCCTCACTCAAGCAGAGCCACTTAGAGCCAGATCCCCATGACCATACCTAGACAGTTTTTCAATACATCCAGAATAGTGCCTCCCTTGGTAAGCTGAGCCAATGCTCAGTCATCCTCACAGTCCAAAAGTGCTTCCTGGTGTTCAGAGGGAACCTCCCATGTTTCAGGTTGTGCCTATCACCTCTGGTCCTGTCACTGGCCACCACTGAAAAGAATCTGCCTCCATCCTCTTTGCACCCTCTCATCAGGTATTTGTGTACATTCTTCTGATCCTCCCCCAAGCCTTCTCTTGTCCAGGATGAACATCCCCAGTGTTCTCTTTGAGGTTCTTCTTTGAGGAGAAAGGCCTCAGTCTCTTAACCATATCTGTTGGATTCTCTCCAATATGTCCATGTCTCTCTCACACTGGGGAGCCATTTTTGTTCATTTTTTTCCAATAGAACTTCAGAAATCCTGTGTTCCACTACCTTTTGGGAAATCTCTGATGGAATTGCCACTATGTACGGAATTCAACAGTCCACTTTTCTCCTTTTAATTCAAATTACTTCTAGTTAGCTAGAAAGGAACCAAAATCTTTCCAAAAAATCATGCTTTTTGAAGTTTAAATGTTTCTCAGTGTGTCTATGAACCTTATTTTCTAGAATTGTATCAATGATTAAAATGCAATCTAAAAATCCATTCCGTGAAAATCATTATTTTAACAGCTGCTCTAGATTATTTATAATCTTCATATTTATATAATATTCAGTCACAACAACCTGAGTAATTATGTTATCAAAAAGCAGTAATATCTGGAGTCAGTATAAATATTACAAAGCCCATTTTTGTAAAGGGAGGGCATGCTGACCTAGGATATTGTCTTACTCCCTTAAGAATAAATAAATTTCAAGAAAAAAACAGATAAGGATCTGAAATACTGTGATGCTGTAAAAATCATGAAGCATCCTCATTTCCAACACAACAGCATAAATACCATTATGTTTTGGGAAAACATTTTGGCTTGTTATATAACAAACATGAATATGTTGAATGTATTTCTTTTTTGTTTGTATGGTACAGTAGGTTTTACCCAAAAAATCAAATGGCATTAGTTAAGGACAAACTTGAAAACGTTTTTGTTGGGAGTACATAAGAGTACAGGTTTCACTTCTGAAAACATTCAAAGCAACATGACTCTCAAGGCCTCCAAGCCACAAGCTCTAGAAGCCTTACACCACACTGCACAATTTCTTGATAACAGGAGTTTTTTTCCATTTACAATTTTGTACTGCTCTAAATCTGTTGTAGTTCAAAAACATCATACTCCAGCATTAAAGTTACAGACAATGTCTTGTGGATTAGACACTTGTTTATATTGAAAGTACAGCCAATTAAACTAAACCTTGTAATTTAAAGCTTCATGGAACAGTAATTTTTATGGTCTGATAAGTAATGGAGACAAACTTAGGTAACCCAGAAAGACCCAGACAAATATATTTATTTAATAGCAAATGTTTACTAGTCAGGCTGCAGAAACAATACTCTTTTTTCTCTCCTTCACTGCAAAGTACTAAGTGTACACACGCATGAACACAGCCAGAGAGGAACACAATTACAAAGGACATTAAACCAGAAGATAATTTATCTGTCCTGCTGAGGAAAGTTTAGGGAAGTAAGCCAAAACATCGGAAAAGAAGAAAACACTAGAGAACTAAACAAAAGAAAGCAGACATATAACACTGAATTAAGATAGTGCAGGAGCTTTATACAACACCCTACACCCACCTACACTGGTGCAACTTTGAATGAATCCACAGAGCTCCTGACAGAAAACATCCCTGAAATTATCACTTACACAAAGCATACATGACAAAGTATAGCACTGTAAAACCTAGAGAATTTTAGCTAGAGAAGAAAGCAAGCATAAGGTTGATAAAGAACATACCAGCAGCACTTCTGCTAGCTAACATGTTTCAGGTTAGCCGCAATTATTTCAAGTGTGATGCTTACCTTTAATAGTTTCTTCCACAACTTCTACTACACGATCTATCTGCTGAACCTAAAAAAAGTCAGAAGGCAAAGATCTTAAGTAGTCAACAAATGGACATACTTTTATATAAACTCTTCTTTTTAAAAGTGTGTTCTTCTGGACTAAGGGGAAGTAAAGAGTTTTGGGCCGTGTTTTTAGCCAGGTTTTTTTTCTGTGCATCTTGGTCCATCTGCCAAAAATAACTTTAAAACTCACCATGTAATTTAAACCAATTTTTTTCCTCAAAAATAACAAGGTCTTATAATTTTGGCAAAAATCATCAAATCACTAGACAAGAGTGACCTAAGAAAAGAGTTCAGGCCTTAACTGCTGTTCGTGGTCTGTGAAAGGCAGTGGTCAACCTCAAAGAGACCCTAAGCACTCCCTCACCCCACCCTCCACAGCAAATTAGGAGATGGTAGAGAATATAACAAGAAGCTAAGCATATTGTCAGGGCAGGCTACAGGGGAGAAAATCAAGGGAGTACTGCAGGGGAAAGACACTGGCACATGGGAAGAAATTTAAAAGTACTGTGGTGAAGTTTAAGGGAACAAGATATTCTCCTGAACTTAATGCAGGCACTGTTTGGAAATGGAAGGGAATGCCCTCATGCTTTTAATAAGACAGAATAATACTTAATGACCATGACATAGCATCTGCATCAAAGACAACAAATTTAGGTTTTAGTGTTACACTTGTCAATATTCATCCATAATGAAATAAATAATTAAATTATTTCTTATTAGATACATTAGTCTAAAGTCAATGGCCAATATACTGTAGAAGTTTTGGTATATAGAGTAAAAGGAATCAGCATTAACACTGCAAAATTAAACACTCAGAAATTCTTGAAGTTGAGATTCTTCCTACAGCTTTCATCCAAACCACTTATTCTATGTAATATCTACTATAAATGTGTATAGACGTTTACATACAGTGATGGAAAGCTTACTTGTCACATTTACATTAGTTTATAATTTTCCCACAATAATCCTTTTTAAATACTGTTTCTCTAAGCTGTACATTATATGAACTAGATTTACCATGATTTTTGCAGCCTTTTCCTTGGAGTTTTTTACTGGTTTGTTTGCAAAACAAGCAGAAAAGCACAACTGTAGAGGCTTCAAGAGCAGAACCTGGTCTGCAACAAGGAGCCTGGAACTTGGATCTCTAGTATCAAAGCCATTAAGTCTCTGTGCCCTAAACCACTGAGTTTGTCATTTTCTGTAAACATATGTCTGCTCAGTCTTCTCTGTTTCACATTTATTTTACAATCAGTCTAATAGAAAGTAAAAAAAAAAATCTCATCTGTAGCTGGAGTCTGATCTAGGGTTCCCAACTCAAGTCAGTAGGAGTCAGTTCCTTTCCTTGTTTGGGTGTTGGATCAAGTCCATGTAAAAGTACTTTTTCTTTTTTTTTTTTTTCAACTTTTTGAAATAAAGCCTTTTTAAAACACAAATGTCTGCCACTTCAGATCTCTGAATACAGTATATTACTTATGAATTCTAGAAATTAAAATATTGCTAATATTTGCATTTTAATAATCTTTTTAAAAGATAAATATATTTAAACAATTTTCTGAAACACAAGCATTCATATTATAGACATACATATGCATATTTACATACTTGTGTACATACCCCTTTCAGATATAGTTTTAAAACTTATGACTCAAGAAACTTAAAATATAGACTTTCTACTTAATGTTTTAAAAATAAAATGCCACTTTAAAACAAAAGTGCAGACACAACTATAAATACAGACAGAGAACAAAGTTTGTGTCAAATACATTGCCTAAAATATTACTGCTACATATCTCAATACTAGACTGTTTAAGTTCATAATAATTTTAATCCTTTAAAATATGAGAAACCTGGTTTATAACCAAGTTTATAACCTCAGCCACCTATGATTACTTTCTATGTTGCACATCTGGGGAATTTTTGCGTTGCTCTAAACCCCCTGTTAAATAAAGATTAAAAAAAAAAAGAAGTCCCCAACCACTATATTGCATTTTCATTTTATTGGATAAATTATATTATTCTCAATATGTCTGTCAAGAAGATGGCTCATGTAAGTAATTAAAATTACAGGTCTAAGAGATAATGAGATCTGCACCTAGAAATGGATGTTTGTTCTGCCTTACTTGTTATTTTCCACATTCAGTATTTTTCATCTCAAATGACTGGAAATTGTTTGCCTAAAGTCCCAAGTGGTCAAGAATAATATGTAGAATGCTTCCAGTCTGTATTGATGAAGATAAAAGTATTTAAGTAGATCTGAGGTGAATCTGGTGTGGAAAGAGGGAAGGGTTTAATGGATTCTTATTTGAAAAAGAAGAGGGGGAAAAAAGAAAAAACAAAAAAAATCAAAGTCATGGTAATTAAGTTTTCTGGGGTATACAAAGCTCTGCAGGATTCTTTTCCTCACATCTCGCTAACCTTATGGAAAATTCTGGAGTGGTGTCAAAGGCATCTGTAAACTCAAGCGAGACCCAATAATGTCTCCATCAGGCATCAGGAAGCCCATGAAGTTCACAAACTTTAAGGTTCTTAATGGTGTATAAAGGGAAAAGACACCATTCCTCAACATTTCTTTGCAGCACATCTCAATAAACCAAACCCCCAGGACTGCTGGGTGTAGTCAGTGCACCACACCTGGCTCCACAGAACTTGTGAGATCCTGTTTGCAGCATAAGCAAGTACACGGTGGACTTAATGTCCATTACAAATGGGTCTCCATTAGGACTTGAATACAACAAAAGCTACTGGTCAACTGGAGCAGGTAGCTAAGTAGAACTACACAAAAAAAAAAACCACTCAACCACCACAACTCAGGCCTGATGCAGAAATCTGGGCTGAGATTGATACAGGCCAAGAGGACAGGTAAGGTCAACGGGATGAACGAGTTGCCAAAGCAGGAAACTGACTGGTCAGAAAGCAGGGAAAAAGAGAGTTGTATCAAAGTATGAAGCCCAAGTTGAAACAAAAATCAGGAAAAATCCTTGACCGCTCCTGGTGGGATCAGAGCTTGGCCTATACAGCTCAGCAATCACATGTATCCAGCCCTTATACACACAAGGAAGACATGAGGCAATCCATGCTGGGGCTGAAGCTGCAGGTCGCCACTGAACACACAATTGCAAACCATACACCTCCCAGAACACCCCAGCACTGCTCTGGGAGACAGCAGTCCTGAGCTCTCCAAGCTAAGCTCCCATAACTAGCAAAAGGAGTGCAGAAATGCACACATGGTTCATTTGTCACCAAAGAAAGTCCCCCAGATCCCTTGTACTGTCACAATCACATTCAACAGATGACTGTTAGGTGGAAGAGACCCAAAGACACGCCTGCAATGTGCCATGTCTGCAGTCTCACACTACGTGATCTGTGAGTGCTGACAGACACGAAGGTTGAGGATGGTGGTGCAAATTCTTCCAAGCTCTCAGAAAGGATCCAATTGCCTCAGAACCAATATTAATATCCTGGAATTGTTTTGCAGGACATGGACTCTGGGAAAAAACATAACCTCTAAGAGAATTCCTACAAACTCAGAATACCCTTAATGAGCAATTAAGAGCAAAGTTGCACATCTACCCTGAGATTCTGCACTCTATAATCAGTGAGCCTCAGATCAAACAAAGTTATTTAGAAAAGTGCATCTATGAATCTATTATGAAAGTAAGAGAAACTTTCTGACATTCTCTTCAGGGAGGCATCAAGACCCTCATTACAAAAGACCCTTCGTTACAATTTGGAAAGACAAAACCTCATACAAGGCTTACGGCGAAATAAATACATGTTCAGTTTAATGTGTCCGCTGAAATACAGACAGAAGCATTTTTTGGGTAAAGATATTTGGACCAATCTCTCTCTGAAGTGACAGGAACAATACAAAACAGGAGAGATGGTCTTCAGATGCCCCTTACAAGCAAAGCTGAGTAAAAAGTGCTAAAACTTATAAAAACAAACAGCTCTTTTCAGTAAAAATATTCAGTGTCTTAATGGTCTTTTCTGAGAGAGAAGCCTCTTCATGCTTCTCTCAGTGGCTGCAGCCATAAGAAAATAGAGGGTGGTCACAAAAATAAGCAATTCATGAACATCCAATGTTTTCTGGAGGAGACAGGCTGCCTTTTAATGGAATCCACTATGCAGGCATCTAAGGTACCTCAGTAAAGCTGTTTTGTTCAAGATGCATCACCAAAGAAGTTGAGGAATGATCCGGTCCAAGTATTGCAGAAAAGGTAGTAATGCGTAGGGCTTCCTAGAAGTCTATATAATGAAAGAAAAGATACTCATTTTCTCTCCACATAATATAGCCTAGACATAATTTCAGATGGAGTCAGCTGCAAGGAAGCATATTTACACCAAAGACACACTGTCCTTTGCCAACTATAGCAGTGCTTGTGCATTCTGAGTTATGCCACTGCCTGTTAGATAATGGCTATCCTGGTCTCCTCTGAAGAGGATTAAATCCTGCAAAGTGAGCATTTCAATTCCTTCAGAAAGCATCTCCCCATATTGTGATTGGACTTTACCTCAGCCAAGAGTGCCTACCAGATGATGAAAAGTCACTGTAGGAATTGGGAAGCATCCTGACATTCAAATCAGCACTTTTATTCAAATCATCTTTTGATTCTTAGTGCAGAATTATTGTAGAATATACTATACTCTTTGCTGTATCGAAATCAGAAGATCACAGAATAATTCCTGGAAATGACATGCCATTTCTTGTAAGTGGTCACAAGAGATCCACATCATCTGGATGATTCTGTTGTTTCTGCTGGGGGACTGGGATTAACCTGGTAGAATCAAAAGCAAATAAAAACAAACCAGAGGCCTTGCCACTTGCCACCAGTGACTGTCTGTTTTGGCCAAAAAGTCTGTGGTTTCACCCTCTGATGAGTCTCAGCTCTCAAGGCTGCTGAAACAGCTACCATCACTTGTTAAAAGTGGCAGCTGGGTCTTCATCACAACCAGCCTGCTCCATGACCCTCCCTCAGAGCGAATACAATGCTCCCCAGGCCTGCT